ATTGTTGAAGAGCGTTTTCAAGTGTTGTCTGAAAGCATGTTGCTGACGGTGTCATTGTGTTTTATGGTATTTTATTGCCGAAGTCAACATTAAATGTTCTTCTTCTTCTTAACGTATTGGAATGGGTTTTGGAATTATGGGACAAATTAAAACCTGCAAACTTTTATACAATGAGACATTTGAATGGATATGCTATTGATTTTACAGTATAAATGGTTGGGCGTTAAGCCGAAATTGAGAAAAGTCGCACACTATGATGGCCTCCTTCCAGATATTGGTTCATCCATATTTGTTTCAGAATAGAACAATTTTTCAAGATCTAAAATCAGTTTGTTCCTAGTCATTTTTTGGGGGGTCTTCGTACTAAGTCTAAATGCCAATCAACCTCGTGGATAACCTTGTTTCAATAGTGCACAATGTGATTGGTAGGCTAGGCTAGGCTAGTGGGGACTGGAGAGAGATAGACAGAGATAGTGATTGGGTGATGTGATGGACCAGGCACATGTGGTGATGGACTAGCGCTGACTTTGCTGATAGCTACTGTAACCGGTGTGAAATGGCTTAGCTAGTTAGCGGTGCGGGCTAGTAGCGTTTCAATCGGTGACGTCACTCGCTCTGAGACCTTGAAGTAGTTGTTTCCCTTTGCTCTGCGAGGGGGGCCGCGGGTTTTGTGGAGCGACGGGTAACGGTGCTTCGAGGGTGACTGTTGTCGATGTGTGCAGAGGGTCCCTGGTTCGAGCCCAGGTAGGGGCGAGGAGAGGGACTGAAGCAACACTGTTACACTACTCTGAGGAAAAATGTACTTAATATGACTGCGATGTGTGGTTGTCTCACCTAGCTATCTTAAGATGAATGCACACTACTGTAAGTCGCTCTGGATAACAGCGTCTGGTAAATGACTCAAATGTAAACTGAACGAATCAATTATCATATCAGATATTAATAATAATAAAAAAATGTATGGTATAGGTCCGATTCCATTCATTATAAGAAAAACGATTGATCACATAGTGCGACCCCTCCCTCCATGCAGACCCGTCGCCAGACCTCAGTCTTAAGGGGGGCTATGAAATGCATGGGAGGGCAGGGCACAATTATTATTAGCCTACAGTACATATATTTAATATTAAATTCCCTCAATTGGGGGGGGGGGCACAAGCATTTTTGGGGGCGGGCCCGGCCCCCTATGGCCCGCCCATAGCGACGGGTGAGCCTCCATGTATATACTATTCAACAGATAACGCATTTTCTAACATTCTCATGGACCCTCAAAGGGATTGCGTTGAAGGGAAAGTGAGGGTAGCAATGTTTGATCAGGGGGTAGGCTAATTAGTGTTATCAGGGCATTAGTCTTATTTAGCCTAACATTTTCGTGATCCTCTGCCCTCTTCTTCACTAAGGTCACAACATTTATAATAATCAGAGACATTAAGTCCCATGATGGACTGGTCATACTGCACAGTTAACTGGGTCACCATTCAAAGTGGACTCTACACAAATTGGCCGATACATTTTTAGAAGATGTAATTATCGTGCCGATCGCAGTCCCTTCCCGCTCGTTCTGCACATGCCCAGTTCAACCCATGAATCCCTGCAACAACAACAAAAAGCAACGGGAACGGGAAGACGATCGAACGGGATTTCGGCAGCGATGGAAGAAGCTTTGCTGTGTGAGTATTTCAACGAATTTCTGTCAATTTAGCGGTTTGTTTACATTTGTTGCAACGTTGCAAATCAGTAACAAAGATTGGCGCTACATCGCTGACATAAAATCACGAATGTCGTTTTCAAAACAGAATCATATAAACTGAGAAGAAAATGAGAGGAGCGCCTAACATTGTCCTGCAACGAGGCGTTTTTCAGTAGTAGCGCTGAAGGGAAAACACCGAGCGGTGGACGGAGCCCGGAGCAGCAGGGAGAGGGGGAGAAGGAGAGGGGGAGAAGGAGAGGGGGAGAGAGCAGCAGGGAGAGGGGAGAGGGAAGCAGGGAGAGGGGGAGAAGGAGAGGGGGAGAGGAGAGGGGGAGTGAGCAGCAGGGAGAGGGTCCTAGAAAACCAGCAGCGGTGTATTCATTACGCTGATTCTGTTGCAAAATGTTTCGTCTGTGGAACAGAAACGTTTACTCCAAACGCTGTTGAGTTCCGTTTTGTTCTTAAACGGAAGTTGTTGTTCAGTCATGTCGCTCTTAAAAAAAAAAGTAAACTGCTGAAAGATAATATAATATATATATAATATGCCATTTAGCAGACGCTTTTATTTGGAAGGAATCCCGCGCCGCGGTCTTCACTTCAGAGAGAAACATCGCAGACCATTTAGATTGGAATGGCAACGCGTGGAAACCCATACAATTTAAAGTGAACTACAACTTCCGTTTAAGAACCCAACAGCTTTTACGTCACGTTGAAGAGCGTTTTGTAGGAAACGGTTTCACAGACGAAACGTTTTGCAACAGAATCAGTGTAATGAATACATCCCCTGTTGTTGGAGTCACATATGGCTGAATCATGGCGGAGGGAACATGGAAGTGGTTTTTTTTTTTTTGCTACAGTGCTTCTATGCACGCCTACCCATGTTAATGACTAGCAACAACCAAGCCATGTTTCCAGTTAGAGTTTGGTGGTCACTGGCTATGTGTCAAACGTTCTAGTCATGTCCATCAGAAAACAACACTACAATCGGATGATGTTGTAGTGATTCACTGTTCATTGCTGCAATTCTGATCCGTTTGCTGTTGCAGTTCCAAACAGCTGGCCGTGCTACTAGCTAGCTAGCTTAACTAGCTACAGTGTTGAGTGTGACAAGGCAAGACACTGTAACTAACAAGAACTTGCAGATGGCCCATTCATCAAAGGAGATCTGACACCAGCCAGCCTCAATTAGGCTACCAGATAATATATTACCAGATTATATTATTTCTCTATTACAATAACCAAACATATTTGCATGATGATATTGAGGTTTTTCTCAGATCTATTTACATTTGACATTTTAGTCATTTTTTTAGCAGACGCTCACGCTCGTATCCAGAGGGACTTAGTGCATTCATATGTAGCTAGTGTAACAGTGTTGCTTCCGTCCCTCTCCTCGCCCCTACCTGGGCTCGAACCAGGGACCCTCTGCACACATCGACAACAGTCACCCTCGAAGCACCGTTACCCGTCGCTCCACAAAAGCCGCGGCCCCCCTCGCAGAGCAACAACTACTTCAAGGTCTCAGAGCGAGTGACGTCACCGATTGAAACGCTACTAGCCCGCACCGCTAACTAGCTAGCCATTTCACACCGGTTACAGAAGCTATCAGCTATCAGTGCATTCATATGTAGCTTGTTAAGACAACCACGTGCGACATGGTACCACACTCCTGAATAGGAGGGGCTGTGCTTCATTATGATTTTAGCACAGTGCTGCAGTCATTGATTCAGTGTTTCCCCTACCATTGTATAGGTAGGGCGGGGCTCCCCAAATAAAATAGTTTGATTTTAAAATGGACAGTTATAATGCCAGAAGGTTTTTGGATCTTGCTTTGGTGCCTTAGAGAAAGTTTGATGTAGGGAAAAGACTGAATTGATTATCAGTGTTGTGAACAGACTCCATACAACTTATTCTGCAAGCACATTGACGAATGCATTTTGACAAAAAAAAAATAACAGACAGTTTCCCCCTTGCTAGCACTGTGTTTTAAAAGCTTGAGCAGGGTGATGTGGGGTTCCTTGTGAGTTTTGTAGTTTAGTTAGTCAATATGGCTAATTGATTAATTAAGCCGCCAGGTGATTTGGTTGGATTTAAACCACGGGCAGGGTTTTTTACTTCAAGGTCAACCCCAAATGCCAGTAATATTCGAACTCTGCAGGTGTAGGCTTAATAATGTAGGTATTACCATGTCTAACCCCCCCCCTCCCCCCTCCCTGGTAATTGTTTCTAATACAATTGTTATAAATGATCCATTAGACCCTATTTGCCACTACGGTTCTGTTATCTTGAAACGTGGCGTCAGCATTGCGTCGTCGTCGTCGCTGCAGGCAGTGGTGTTTTTGTTGTGCCGATCAGTGCGCTGTGATCACCGTGGCAACTGCAGATTATTTTTTTCTTTTCTTCTTTTCCTGTGCTAAACATATCACCAAGGCACCAGCATGCCATGTAGCATTGGAAAAATCCACATGGGGTGAACGCCAAGCTCCAGATGGATGGTTTCAACTTAGCCCATTATACATGGTTTCTCTTGTTTCCGTGTTAAGTTTGCCTTGCGTGTTAGTTCCCAGTAAATTAGATGTATAGGCCTAGCTATCGTTGTCAAAGGTTGAGTTTTGAATTATAATTTTGAATGTAGGTTATATATATATATATAGATAATTTCAGAACTTGTTTATTTGATTTATTCAATTTGTTGATTGTGTGTTTATCAGCACTCCGACACGCTAATTCCGTTTTTAAAGCGTACTATTTTCCCGTCATACTTTTAGAATGTTTAATTTAGAATACATGTGGTCCTCTGTAGCTCAGCTGGTAGAGCACGGCGCTTGTAACGCCAAGGTAGTGGGTTCGATCCCCGGGACCACCCATACACAAAAAAAAAAAAATGTATGCACGCATGACTGTAAGTCGCTTTGGATAAAAGCGTCTGCTAAATGGCATATTATTATTATTATTATTATTATTATTATTATATTTATTATTACATGTAGGATTTTCTGCAGTGAAACAGAATACTAATAATAGACAGCGACCTCATTCTTTCTATATTATAATAAATAATGATGCCTACTGACATTTTTCCTTTTTTATTTCTCAGAGTGTTCCGAACATCAGCTTACCCCACCCAAACCCTAACCTCCACACATCCCAAGATGGAGAGACTAGAGGCTTTGTCTGTAGACCTTCTTCATATGTCTTAAGGCTACAGGAGAGAACCGAGGAGGACCTGTGTTTTGCTGTGAGCCAGTAATGTTACTGAGCATGGACGGTGAACAGTGAGTAGGCCTAACTGGATGACCTTCGACCCGACATGGACAGGAAGCGCCCCAAACTGCTCATCCTGAGGAGAGACACAGTAGAGGGTCGGATGGTAGCGAGACGCATTGCTCTGGAGGAGGACACGCCCCTGAGCCACGCAGCCAATCAGGATCCAGACCTCAGAGAGGGAGCCAATCAGGGAGACCAGGGCGGGGCTGGAGTAGAGGTGAGGAGTGGGGCGTTTTCAGTGATCTGAAAGACGTTTTGAACATTGCACATACGTTGCAGAGACACTTTTATCCTAAGCAATTGACAGTAATTTACATAGAAATGACATTGCATACGTTTTATGCTCTTGGCACCATCATTTCAGTTTCTTCAGCTATAGCAGGTCTTTCTGAATGTTCTGTAACATTTTCTAGAGCTGACACAATTCCCTTTTCTATCTGACAAGACAATCATATCTGTTCTACACCATATTTCTATCTTAACGCGCTGTAACATTACAGGTCAGTGGTGAAGAGGAGGTGATCCAGCTGGAGAACGACATGCTCCCTCTAGGGGCGGAGGTCCAGATGGACATCCTGGGGAGTCTGGCCCAGGGGACTGTGGAGGGAGAGGGGAGTCTGGCCCAGGGGACAGGGGAGGGAGAGGGGAGTCTGGCCCAGGGGACAGGGGGAGGGAGAGGGGAGTCTGGCCCAGGGGACAGGGGAGGGAGAGGGGAGTCTGGCCCAGGGGACTGTGGAGGGAGAGGGGAGTCTGGCCCAGGGGACAGGGGAGGGAGAGGGGAGTCTGGCCCAGGGGACAGGGGAGGGAGAGGGGAGTCTGGCCCAGGGGACAGGGGAGGGAGAGGGGAGTCTGGCCCAGGGGACAGGGGAGGGAGAGGGGAGTCTGGCCCAGGGGACTGGGGAGGGAGAGGGGAGTCTGGCCCAGGGGACAGGGGAGGGAGAGGGGAGTCTGGATGGACCGCCTGGTGCCTGGTTTGAGCCCCTGGGGGAGAACGACTTTGACGATGTGGAAGGTGAAAGTGAACGGAGGTATGGAATGTATTTCTTCACTCACACCTGATCTTCCTGGTGCTGATTTAGCTGATAGTGGCTATTTAGAAGAAGGGTGTATTAAATGACTGTATTCTGGTTGTTTTCCCACTAAATGCTCTGGATAAGAGGGTCTACTAAATGACTGAAATGAAAATGTTATTGTTGTTAAATTTGTTAGTCTCTGCATTCTGCAACTGCCTTGTTTTAGAACAGTGGTCTCATTAACTGGGCATACCATGTGCTCCAGAACATGACAACTTGTCATCCCTTTTATTTGAACAAAGAAAGTAATGCATGTCCCTTAGCAGAGCTTGGCCTTGTGATAGACTAGCGTCCTGTCCAGGGGGTGTACTGGTACATCAAGCTGTCTCACTACAGAAACAGGAGATAGACTAGTGTCCTGTCCAGGGGGTGTACTGTACATCAAGCTGTCTCACTACAGACACAGGAGATAGACTAGTGTCCTGTCCAGGGGGTGTACTGTACATCAAGCTGTCTCACTACAGAAACAGGAGATAGACTAGTGTCCTGTCCAGGGGGTGTACTGGTACATCAAGCTGTCTCACTACAGAAACAGGAGATAGACTAGTGTCCTGTCCAGGGGGTGTACTGTACATCAAGCTGTCTCACTACAGAAACAGGAGATAGACTAGTGTCCTGTCCAGGGGGTGTACTGTACATCAAGCTGCCTCACTACAGACACAGGAGATAGACTAGTGTCCTGTCCAGGGGGTGTACTGGTACATCAAGCTGTCTCACTACAGAAACAGGAGATAGACTAGTGTCCTGTCCAGGGGGTGTACTGTACATCAAGCTGTCTCACTACAGACACAGGAGATAGACTAGTGTCCTGTCCAGGGGGTGTACTGTACATCAAGCTGTCTCACTACAGAAACAGGAGATAGACTAGCGTCCTGTCCAGGGGGTGTACTGTACATCAAGCTGTCTCACTACAGAAACAGGAGATAGACTAGTGCTCTAAGGCTTAAACACTTTATTCTGTGTCCAGACCGTCTCCTAAGCGAAGGTGGAGGTGGAAGCCTCCGGTACAGGGTGATGACGACTGGGAAGACTGCTCCGCTCTAGGACCGGGCTGGAAACGCAAAGTGGTGTTCCGACGCTCAACCACCCTGTCCACTAAGAGGAAGTGGGATGCGTACTACTGCAGTCCTAATGGGGACCGTATGAGGAGCAAGGTTAACACTTCTTCTAAACACTTCCTTAACAGTTCTACTGCAATAAGAGCAGCGTTCAGTTATGAATTTAATGTTTAGATTTGGATTTAACAGGTGACTATCAATAAGGGATCATAGCTTTCACCTGGACTCACCTGGACAGTCTATGTCATGGAAAAAGAGCAGGTGTTCCTAATGTGGTTCAAGTCCTGATTGGCTGAAAGCCGTGGTATATCACACCATATACCACGGGAGTGACCACATATTTATTTTTACTGTTCTAATTATGTTGGTAGCCAGTTTATAATAGCTATAAAGCACGAGGAGGTGTTGTAAATGGCCAATATACCACGACTAAGTGCTGTTCTTACGCACGAAGCAACGTGGAGTGCATATATACTTCCATTAGCCATGGTATATTGGCCATATACCACAAACCCCCGAGGTGCCTTATTGCTATTATAAACTGGCTACCATAATAAATGTTTTGTCAAAGCCGTGGTATATGGTCTGATAAACCACAGCTGTCAGGACTCGAACGATCCAGTGTATATTTTTATTCCAGACTTTGACATTGCTCATTCTGATATGATAGTTTAATTTCTTGTTCTTTTTTTAAAAAAACTTTGGGATTATGTGTGTATTGTTATTGTATTGATAGATATTGTTGGAGCTAGAAACGTAAGCATTTCGCTACACCTGCGATAATATCTGCAAAACTGTGTACGCGACCAATAAACATTGATTTGATTTGAAACTCTTTGGTCCTTTAAAAACCTGCTGTATGTAAAATAATGTGTTCTATAGCTTGTAAAATAAATAAATGTGACTCTGGATGACAACAGTGATGTTTGTTAACAACATTAGGGCTGTTTTCCTAAATAAGTTAAATCCGCTTGGTGTTTCCCTTCCTTGCCATGACACTAAGGAGCATGGTGATGCTGGTATGGTCCATGACACTAAGGAGCATGGTGATGCTGGTATGGTCCATGACACTAAGGAGCATGGTGATGCTGGTATGGTCCATGACACTAAGGAGCATGGTGATGCTGGTATGGTCCATGACACTAAGGAGCATGGTGATGCTGGTATGGTCCATGACACTAAGGACTATGGTGATGCTGGTATGGTCCATGACACTAAGGAGCATGGTGATGCTGGTATGGTCCATGATACTAAGGAGTATGGTGATGCTGGTATGGTCCATGATACTAAGGAGTATGGTGATGCTGGTATGGTCCATGATACTAATTAGTATGGTGATGCTGGTATGGTCCATGACACTAAGGAGTATGGTGATGCTGGTATGGTCCATGATACTAAGGAGGATGGTGATGCTGGTATGGTCCATGATACTAAGGAGTATGGTGATGCTGGATGGTCCATGATACTAAGGAGCATGGTGATGCTGGTATGGTCCATGATATGAAGGAGGATGGTGATGCTGGTATGGTCCATGATACTAAGGAGTATGGTGATGCTGGTATGGTCCATGATACTAATTAGTATGGTGATGCTGGTATGGTCCATGACACTAAGGAGTATGGTGATGCTGGTATGGTCCATGATACTAAGGAGGATGGTGATGCTGGTATGGTCCATGATACTAAGGAGTATGGTGATGCTGGATGGTCCATGATACTAAGGAGCATGGTGATGCTGGTATGGTCCATGATATGAAGGAGGATGGTGATGCTGGTATGGTCCATGATACTAAGGAGTATGGTGATGCTGGTATGGTCCATGATACTAAGGAGTATGGTGATGCTGGTATGGTCCATGATACTAAGGAGTATGGTGATGCTGGTATGGTCCATGATACTAAGGAGCATGGTGATGCTGGTATGGTCCATGACACTAAGGAGCATGGTGATGCTGCGAAGGAGTATGGTGATGCTGGTATGGTCCATGATACTAAGGAGTATGGTGATGCTGGTATGGTCCATGATACTAAGGAGCATGGTGATGCTGGTATGGTCCATGACACTAAGGAGCATGGTGATGCTGCGAAGGAGTATGGTGATGCTGGTATGGTCCATGATACGAAGGAGTATGGTGATGCTGGTATGGTCCATGATACTAAGGAGCATGGTGATGCTGGTATGGTCCATGACACTAAGGAGCATGGTGATGCTGGTATGGTCCATGATACGAAGGAGTATGGTGATGCTGGTATGGTCCATGACACTAAGGAGTATGGTGATGCTGGTATGGTCCATGATACTAAGGAGTATGGTAATGCTGGTATGGTCCATGATACTAAGGAGTATGGTGATGCTGGTACGGTCCATGATACTAAGGAGTATGGTGATGCTGGTACGGTCCGTGATACTAAGGAGCATGGTGATGCTGGATGGTCCATGATACTAAGGAGTATGGTGATGCTGGTATGGTCCATGATACTAAGGAGTATGGTTATGCTGGATGGTCCATGACACTAAGGAGTATGGTGATGCTGGTACGGTCCATGATACTAAGGAGTATGGTGATGCTGGTACGGTCCGTGAAACTAAGGAGTATGGTGATGCTGGTATGGTCCATGATACTAAGTAGTATGGTGATGCTGGTATGGTTCATGATACTAAGGAGTATGGTGATGCTGGTATGGTCCATGATACTAAGGACTATGGTGATGCTGGTATGGTCCATGATACTAAGGAGTATGGTGATGCTGGTATGGTCCATGATACTAATTAGTATGGTGATGCTGGATGGTCCATGATATTAATTAGTATGGTGATGCTGGTATGGTCCATGACACTAAGGAGTATGGTGATGCTGGTATGGTCCATGATACTAATTAGTATGGTGATGCTGGTATGGTCCATGATACTAATTAGTATGGTGATGCTGGATGGTCCATGATACTAATTAGTATGGTGATGCTGGTATGGTCCATGATACTAAGGAGTATGGTGATGCTGGTATGGTCCATGATACTAATTAGTATAGTGATGCTGGTATATTCCCATTCCTAGGCTGCATGTGTATGATCTGTATGTGATATTTTTTATTGTTTTACAGTGATGCTAAAGAACGATGTCTAGCCTTGGATGGACAATAAAGTTATATTCTCTTCTAAGGTTGAACTGGCCAAATACCTCCCTAGTGGCGTGGATCTCTCTCATTTCGACTTCCAGTCAGGACTCTTCTTGGATGAGAAAAACAGACTGAAGGTAAAACACTTCCTTACTTTCCTGTGCCATGGGGCATATTCATTAGTGCCAGGAAGGAAGAACCGTCCCCCTTTCCTGTGCCATGGGGCATATTCATTAGTGCCAGGAAGGATGAACCGTCCCCCTTTCCTGTGCCATGGGGCATATTCATTAGTGCCAGGAAGGAGGAACCGTCCCCCTTTCCTGTGCCATGGGGCATTTTCATTAGTGCCAGGAAGGATGAACCGTCCCCCTTTCCTGTGCCATGGGGCATTTTCATTAGTGCCAGGAAGGATGAACTGTCCCCCTTTCCTGTGCCATGGGGCATTTTCATTAGTGCCAGGAAGGAAGAACCGTCCCCCTTTCCTGTGCCATGGGGCATATTCATTAGTGCCAGGAAGGAAGAACCGTCCCCCGTTTTCAGCCCGCTTGCTTCTGATTGGTTCCTAGTAATCAACCCTGGTTTCCACCTCCAATATTGTCCTCAATAGTTGTTATTATTATAATAATAATAATATGCCATTTAGCAGACGCTTTTATCCAAAGCGACTTAGTGTGCATACATTTTTACGTATGGGTGGTCCCGGGGATCGAACCCACTACCCTGGCGTTACAAGCGCCGTGCTCTACCAGCTGAGCTACAGAGAACCACATGTACTCAGTTGTTATGTACTCAGTTAATATGTACTCAGTTATGTACTTGTTATATACTCAGTTGTTATGTACTTCGTTATGTACTCAGTTATTATGTTAAAAAAAAAAAAATATTACAAAATAACTACACTGCTCAAAAAAATTAAGGGAACACTAAAATAACACATCCTAGATCTGAATGAATGAAATAATCTTATGAAATACTTTTTTCTTTACATAGTTGAATGTGCTGTCAACAAAATCACACAAAAATTATCAATGGAAATCAAATTTATCAACCCATGGAGGTCTGGATTTGGAGTCACCCTCAAAATTAAAGTGGAAAACCACACTACAGGCTGATCCAACTTTGATGTAATGTCCTTAAAACAAGTCAAAATGAGGCTCAGTAGTGTGTGTGGCCTCCACGTGCCTGTATGACCTCCCTACAACGCCTGGGCATGCTCCTGATGAGGTGGCGGATGGTCTCCTGAGGGATCTCCTCCCAGACCTGGACTAAAGCATCCGCCAACTCCTGGACAGTCTGTGGTGCAACGTGGCGTTGGTGGATGGAGCGAGACATGATGTCCCAGATGTGCTCAATTGGATTCAGGTCTGGGGAACGGGCGGTCCATAGCATCAATGCCTTCCTCTTGCAGGAACTGCTGACACACTCCAGCCACATGAGGTCTAGCATTGTCTTGCATTAGGAGGAACCCAGGGCCAACCGCACCAGCATATGGTCTCACAAGGGGTCTGAGGATCTCATCTCGGTACCTAATGGCAGTCAGGCTACCTCTGGCGAGCACATGGAGGGCTGTGCGGCCCCCCCAAAGAAATGCCACCCCACACCATGACTGACCCACCGCCAAACCGGTCATGCTGGAGGATGTTGCAGGCAGCAGAACGTTCTCCACGGCGTCTCCAGACTCTGTCACGTCTGTCACATGTGCTCAGTGTGAACCTGCTTTCATCTGTGAAGAGCACAGAGCGCCAGTGGCGAATTTGCCAATCTTGGTGTTCTCTGGCAAATGCCAAACGTCCTGCACGGTGTTGGGCTGTAAGCACAACCCCCACCTGTGGACGTCGGGCCCTCATACCACCCTCATGGAGTCTGTTTCTGACCGTTTGAGCAGACACATGCACATTTGTGGCCTGCTGGAGGTCATTTTGCAGGGCTCTGGCAGTGCTCCTCCTTGCACAAAGGCGGAGGTAGCAGTCCTGCTGCTGGGTTGTTGCCCTCCTACGGCCTCCTCCACGTCTCCTGATGTACTGGCCTGTCTCCTGGTAGCGCCTCCATGCTCTGGACACTACGCTGACAGACACAGCAAACCTTCTTGCCACAGCTTGCATTGATGTGCCATCCTGGATGAGCTGCACTACCTGAGCCACTTGTGTGGGTTGTAGACTCCGTCTCATGCTACCACTAGAGTGAAAGCACCGCCAGCATTCAAAAGTGACCAAAACATCAGCCAGGAAGCATAGGAACTGAGAAGTGGTCTGTGGTCACCAGCTGCAAAACCAGTCCTTTATTGGGGGGTGTCTTGCTAATTGCCTATAATTTCCACCTGTTGTCTATTCCATTTGCACAACAGCATGTGAAATGTATTGTCAATCAGTGTTGCTTCCTAAGTGGACAGTTTGATTTCACAGAAGTGTGATTGACTTGGAGTTACATTGTGTTGTTTAAGTGTTCCCTTTATTTTTTTGAGCAGTGTATTTTGTTTTATTTTCTCACCACAGCGTTTATACCACTTGGAGGAATTTCACTCCTCTAGTACGAGCACCTCCAGGGCCGGTACCCCCGTGACCGGCACCCACAGGACAGGCACTCCAGACCTGGACAGGAACCACACTCATGATGGTCTCCCTGGAACTCCCCAGCGCACCCCCCAGAGTCAGGCCAGCTTCCCGCACATCACCCAGTCCCCCTCCGTTGTTCTCCACAACAGCCTCCCCACCACCACTAAGCCTCCCCTGGCCAGTGGCTCCCCCTCTCTCTGTCTGGGGAAGTTCTCCCCACAGAGACTCAGCGCTGAGGCCTCTTCAAGCCGAGACGTCGTGGAAATCCCCCATCTGTCTCAGTCACTCCTGCCTCTCAGCCCGACCAAAAACCAGCTCCTTCAGTCAGGACTACAACCGCTCAGCCCGACCAAGAATCAGCTCCTTCAGTCAGGACTACAAACCCCAGAGAAGCACAGGAAGGTATTAGTGATCCGTAGGCCGGATGTGGATCTGGACCCAATCACCTCCCCTCCCCCCCAGCACCTGGCCCTGGTAACCCAGTGGACCCAACAGTGGAGTGGATCTAATATTGTGCTGAATGGACACAGAGAAATGGACACAGAGAAAACAGGTAGACATGGACAGGTAGAGTCAGGGAAACTACCTCATGAAGTAACTTACCTTAGGCCAGGCTCCTACGATGAGAGGATTCAGCAGATGAAAGCAGCCAACAAGGAAGATGGTGAGTCCTTTTATTTCATTCATTATATTTACCTAGCCAGGATAGTCCGCTCAGTAACACTGGCATATCTTTCCCAGAGGGGTATACTACAAAGCAGGATCAAGGAGTTATCCAGCTAACTTCCCTGAATATTCTGAACAGAGTGGCTGCAGATCAGAATTTTCCCAGACCTTTTTTTTCCCGAACTAAAGATTCTGAAGCTTCTGTCCATGTGTTTGTTCTATACTTTAGGCACAGAGAACAGTGGAGAACAGTGGAGAACAGTGGAGAACAGTGGGAGAACAGTGGGAGAACAGTGGGAGAACAGTGGGAGAACAGTGGGAGAACAGTCTACTCTGGTGAATGGCGCTCGTTTTAATAAAGTTATATCAAAGCTGAATCAATGTCTGCAAGGTCACATAATGATAGTATTCTACATAACAGAAGTGAATATAATAGCATAGTATAACTGTAAGACAAAAACGCCAGCACATTTATTATCTCTCATGTGGCCAAAAGTCGACAACAGCACGTCCCACTAGGCATAATACACAGGTAGGTAATGCTACAGCTGTTAACACCATAGCTCTAAAATTCATTCACTATACATAATTCAGGTAGGTTACCTGGAAACAACACTGTATAACTCAATACCATTTTAATGTACAGTACCAGTCAAAAGTTTGGACACATCTACTCATTCAAGGGTTTTTCTTTATTTTTACTATTTTCTACATTGTAAAATAATAGTGAAGACATCAAAACTATGAAATAACACAAATGGAATCATGTAGTAACCAAAAAAGTGTTAAACAAATCAAAATATATTTTATATTTTAGTTTCTTCAAAGTAGCAACCCTTTGACTTGATGAAAGCTTTGCACATTCTTGGCATTCTCTCAACCAGCACAAATATCCTATTTTTCGAAAATCGTCAGTCCACATGTCAAGTGTAATTGCGCCATTGTATTTACCCAAGTTCTCTCTCAACTCCGGGACCACCCGCCAGCTTATATATATATATATATATATATATATATATATATATCTATAAAAAAAAAAATCTGATGCAGGACTCTAGTGCGATAGGAGAGAGATTGACTGAAACATTCACACCTCCATTAATTTTCAAAACAATAGTCTAATAGCTCGGCTAGATTTGAAAAATCCCCCAATTTGTGCCAGAGTTTAGACTACTGATAGACGATGCGTTCAGTCAGAGTTTAGACTACTGATAGACGCTGCGTTCAGTCAGAGTTTAGACTACTGATAGACGCTGCGTTCAGTCAGAGTTTAGACTACTGATAGACGATGCGTTCAGTCAGAGTTTAGACTACTGATAGACGCTGCGTTCAGTCAGAGTTTAGACTACTGATAGACGCTGCGTTCAGTCAGAGTTTAGACTACTGATAGACGCTGCGTTCAGTCAGAGTTTAGACTACTGATAGACGCTGCGTTCAGTCAGAGTTTAGACTACTGATAGACGCTGCGTTCAGTCAGAGTTTAGACTACTGATAGACGCTGCGTTCAGTCAGAGTTTAGACTACTGATAGACGATGCGTTCAGTCAGAGTTTAGACTACTGATAGACGATGCGTTCAGTCAGAGTTTAGACTACTGATAGACGCTGCGTTCAGTCAGAGTTTAGACTACTGATAGACGCTGCGTTCAGTCAGAGTTTAGACTACTGATAGACGCTGCGTTCAGTCAGAGTTTAGACTACTGATAGACGCTGCGTTCAGTCAGAGTTTAGACTACTGATAGACGCTGCGTTCAGTCAGAGTTTAGACTACTGATAGACGCTGCGTTCAGTCAGAGTTTAGACTACTGATAGACGATGCGTTCAGTCAGAGTTGAGTCCTATTGTAAAAGTGTAGCCTAACGGCCAAAAAAAGGGCAAAATTGCAACGTATTCGATGCTTAAGTCCTCTAAAGGTTTGCATTTCTAACTCAATATCACAGACCTGATTTTCCCTAATGAAGAATGCATCAACCCCTACAAATATATTCATTTATTATAATCCAGATAATAATTCAAACGAAATGAGCTGTAGCAAGAGGAGAGACTGCATGCTAAAGACAATCAGAAAGAACATGTGGTGTATTGAGAAATGTATTATGTGTTAATGAGTTTAGATTTAAAATGGTTGCAAATAGCCAATGGGATTTGTATGCAGGGGTTGAATTATTTGAATTAACAAATGACAATGGGGTTTCCGTTCTTGCATTGAAGTGATTTGGATTACGTGATGCAAGGGGGGGGGTGAAAGTTCAATGATGTATTGGGGAGTTGTGCTGAAGACACTGTAGAGAGTGGTCCGCTGGAATTGATAAGGAGAACATGACATAAATCTGTTCTGTTTATTATAAATACGCTTCGGAGTCTTCAGTAAAAGAACCCAGCATCTTAGGATGCAACAGAATGTGTCTTTAACCCTGCATTATAATATCATTTATTTTGAACAAAAGCCAGGAATGAGTGAGTCACTCAGCCCAATGCTTCTGTTCCTGTTTCTGTTTGCCTATTTGAGAGTTTGTTTAATATCCTACTGATTCAGGTGATCACCAAGCCTCATGCAACCTCAAAATGTCGGATAAAGCAATTTCACAAATCCGGCTGTTTTTAAACTCTGCTATGCTTTATTAAAGGCTTTACAAAAAAATTTTTTATTAGAACAGACTCTCTGGTATTACATATAATTTATTTAGTATTGTTTACACTGTTCCAAACTGGCAGATAAAGTATATTGTGATCTAACAGCACCTGTTTGTCATGCAACAGTATCTCTTGCGCTTTTGACAATGATTTGACATGATATGCCTAAAATACTTATATCCACTAGGCTAATAAATAATCACTTTTTTTTTTCCTTTCGATGATTTAATTAACCTATATGTTATTTCTAGTTATCCCTTTTGGAGCGCATGCAAAAGCGATTTGGTGTTGTTGAACGGGAGTGACAAAATGTATTACAACTGAATTTAAATGAACTGAATGATGAGGATGATGAAGAAGAGGGTGGTTGAATTCAGAATAATAGTGTAAGAATTGGTCTTCCTCTGTCCCGCGCGCACACTCCCAAAAAGTAGAGGCCTGGGCGTTGTTGTTCACTAGTTTACTCCAAGTAGGGAAAGGATGGTGGGGTTGGAAAGTAATAAAGGGGAGTATATATATATATATAAAAGTGATGCAGACAACTACATTGATAGAAGATACAATCTATCTGCAATATTAAGCTGATCCATTCCCCCAGAAAAAAATTAAAATAAAAATTACAAATAAAGGAAAAAATCAAAAAAAATGATTAAAATGTAAATGATTTTTTTTTTAAAGATTTGCTCTTCCTCTGTAATACTTTTAGAGATGTCTGCTAATTGAACAAGTTAATGGCAACAACATAAAGCGTGAACACAAAGGGGGAAAAAAAGGTTTCACATATTTTCAAGACCGGAGTTTTTTAATGTGTTGTATTTATTACATGTACTTGTGGAATGTTAGCGAATAGATGACAACAATAGAGAGAATAATCTGGTGGCGTTGGTAGAGAGTCAGGTGGAGGATGGAGTGAAAGTGCACTACTGTCAGTACGCAACAACGCTGTGGGCCAGGTGGGAATGGTTTAGCAGCCGGGCCAGGTGGAAATGGTTTAGCAGCCGGGCCAGGTGGAAATGGTTTAGCAGCCGGGCCAGGTGGAAATGGTTTAGCAGCCGGGCCAGGTGGAAATGGTTTAGCAGCCAGGCCAGGTGGAAATGGTTAGCCAGGCCAGGTGGAAACTAGGTTACTAGTCCTACTCCCGACCGGTCGCTTAGTAACCCTCTAGCTACCCTACCATAATAAACACATCTAGCTACCCTACCATAAAAAACACATCTAGCCACCCTACCATAAAAAACACATCCAGCTACCCTACCATAAAAAACACATCCAGCTACCCTACCATAAAAAACACATCCAGCTACCCTACCATAAAAAACACATCCAGCTACCCTACCATAAAAAACACATCTAGCTACCCTACCATAAAAAACACATCTAGCTACTCTACCATAAGAAACACATCTAGCTACCCTACCATAAAAAACACATCTAGCTACCCTACCATAAAAAACACATCTAGCTACCCTACCATAAAAAACACATCTAGCTACTCTACCATAAGAAACACATCTAGCTACCCTACCATAAAAAACACATCTAGCTACCCTACCATAAAAAACACATCTAGCTACTCTACCATAAGAAACAACACGGCAGCAAATCAATTGTCAGGGAAACAACAGAACATTATATGCCAGAGCAGAATTCTGTCTGAATAGGTACAGATGCAGCAGTTTTTTTTTATTGTCTGAAAGTTATCAATTGTTGCTGTCGACCCATTACTGTAGCTGAGTTTGATGTCTGTAAAGGCTTTCAGTAGATATAACTTCATCGCCCGGCCCTAGCAGTCATACTTACGTAATAGGACCATTATTCTGCATTGTGAAATAGATTTTTCTTATCGTTTTAAAGGAAAACCGATAATATAATGGCCGTTTTTTAAACGTTAAGCAAAATTGTCAATTTGTCATATCCCTAGTATGGACGTGGTTTTGGGAACAGTAATGAACAGTTTCAACATTTCTACACGCCGGTGTCGCATTATTCAAGTGTGTTAACTTCTGTGCAGCGTGAGTGGCGATGCGGACCAGCCTCCAGGTGAGTTCAGTTCTTCAGGACAGACTAGAGCCAGTATGAGTGGGGAGTTAACATGATGCGGACCAGACTCCCAGTGAGTTAGTGGAGCAGGCAGGGTGTGGAGCCAACATGATGCAGCCCAGACTCCCAGTGAGTTTAGTTCTTCAGGACAGACTAGAGCCAGTATGAGTGGGGAGTTAACATGATGCAGACCAGACTCCCAGTGAGTTAGTGGAGCAGGCATGGTGTGGAGCCAACATGATGCAGCCCAGACTCCCAGTGAGTTAGTGGAGCAGGCAGGGTGTGTGAGTTAGTGGAGCAGGCAGGGTGTGTGAGTTAGTGGAGCAGTCAGGGTGTGCACTTTAATAAGGGGTCGGCTACGCTGATAGACAGGCTTGATCCGTGAGACACATTTGACAGAAGTACCGAAAGTAAAAAAATATATAGTACCGACCCATGTTCTAGTATCGAAAAGGTACAGACGATTCGGAATACCTTGCAACACTAGTGTGTGCATGCTGCTTCAGAGCCGGTGCTGTTCTTCCTCCAGACCAGCTGCTGCTTCAGAGCCGGTGCTGTTCTTCCTCCAGACCAGCTGCTGCTTCAGAGCCGGTGCTGTTCTTCCTCCAGACCAGCTGCTGCTTCAGAGCCGGTGCTGTTCTTCCTCCAGTCCAGCTGCTGCTTCAGAGCCGGTGCTGTTCTTCCTTCAGACAAACATGCGTCAAAACTTTGTTCATTTGAACAATGTCTCTCGTTCACATTCGCTTGTAAATATCCAACCTCACCAAAAAAAAATATTCTACCTATATACAGTGGGGAAAAAAAATATTTAGTCAGCCACCAATTGTGCAAGTTCTCCCACTTAAAAAGATGAGAGAGGCCTGTAATTTTCATCATAGGTACACGTCAACTATGACAGACAAAATGAGAATTATTTTTCCAGAAAATCACATTGTAGGATTTTTAATGAATTTATTTGCAAATTATGGTGGAAAATAAGTATTTGGTCAATAACAAAAGTTTCTCAATACTTTGTTATATACCCTTTGTTGGCAATGACACAGGTCAAACGTCTTCTGTAAGGTTTTCACACACTGTTGCTGGTATTTTGGCCCATTCCTCCATGCAGATCTCCTCTAGAGCAGTGATGTTTTGGGGCTGTCGCTGGGCAACACGGACTTTCAACTCCCTCCAAAGATTTTCATTGGGGTTGAGATCTGGAGACTGGCTAGGCCACTCCAGGACCTTGAAATGCTTCTTACGAAGCCACTCCTTCGTTGCCCGGGCAGTGTGTTTGGGATCATTGTCATGCTGAAAGACCCAGCCACGTTTCATCTTCAATGCCTTTGCTGATGGAAGGAGGTTTTCACTCAAAATCTCACGATACATGGCCCCATTCATTCTTTCCTTTACACGGATCAGTCGTCCTGGTCCCTTTGCAGAAAAACAGCCCCAAAGCATGATGTTTCCACCCCCATGCTTCACAGTAGGTATGGTGTTCTTTGGATGCAACTCAGCATTCTTTGTCCTCCAAACACGACGAGTTGAGTTTTTACCAAAAAGTTCTATTTTGGTTTCATCTGACCATATGACATTCTCCCAATCCTCTTCTGGATCATCCAAATGCACTCTAGCAAACTTCAGATGGGCCTGGACATGTACTGGCTTAAGCAGGGGGACACGTCTCGCACTGCAGGATTTGAGTCCCTGGCGGCGTAGTGTGTTACTGATGGTAGGCTTTGTTACTTTGGTCCCAGCTCTCTGCAGGTCATTCACTAGGTCCCCCCATGTGGTTCTGGGATTTTTGCTCACCGTTCTTGTGATCATTTTGACCCCACGGGGTGAGATCTTGCGTGGAGCCCCAGATCGAGGGAGATTATCAGCGGTTTTGTATGTCTTCCATTTCCTAATAATTGCTCCCACAGTTGATTTCTTCAAACCAAGCTGCTTACCTATTGCAGATTCAGTCTTCCCAGCCTGGTGCTGGTCTACAATTTTGTTTCTGGTGTCCTTTGACAGCTCTTTGGTCTTGGCCATAGTGGAGTTTGGAGTGTAACTGTTTGAGGTTGTGGACAGGTGTCTTTTATACTGATAACACGTTCAAACAGGTGCCATTAATACAGGTAACGAGTGGAGGACAGAGGAGCCTCTTAAAGAAGAAGTTACAGGTCTGTGAGAGCCAGAAATCTTGCTTGTTTGTAGGTGACCAAATACTTATTTTCCACCATAATTTGCAAATAAATTCATTAAAAATCCTACAATGTGATTTTCTGGGTTTATTTTCCTCAATTTGTCTGTCATAGTTGACGTGTACCTATGATGAAAATTACAGGCCTCTCTCATCTTTTTAAGTGGGAGAACTTGCACAATTTGTGGCTGACCTAAATACTTTTTTCCCCCACTGTATGTATAACTTTATGAGCTGGATTCCCTGTCTTTGCGATTAGTTTATTTTCCTTTGCGCTCATTAGCATATTTAGCTAGCAGCCGCTATGGAAATTCGCTAGCACTTTAGCAATTTCTTCTTCTTCTTCTCGTTCTGGTAAAGGTAAAGAAACACGTGTGCAGAAGCTTCGGGACCTTTTAGTCCGGGAAACAAAGGTCTGAGAAAAGTCGGATCCACTATTCTGAAATAAAGTTGTATTTTTTTAGAAGCACGAAATGGGCTTGACAACCAAAAACACATGTATAAGTTTAGAATTCTTAATGAACCAGAAAATCACCAGTTATTTCTGGTAGTTTATTAAAGTTAGCTGGTACACTCCTTGTAGTGTATTCCCCAGGGAGTGCTGGGATTCCTGTGTGTGTGTGTGTGTGTGTGTGTGTGTGGAGGACTGGAAGGTGTGGCAGTTATATCTAGAAGACGGTAGTCAACTTCAAGTTGGTCTCGAGGACCATGTAAAATAGAGCCACTTTGAGCGGCTAGAGTTGGGGAGTTTTTCTACATGCGCGGGGCGTCTTTGTGTCTGTTGGTTGTTGAGATGTTTTGTGTCTTGTGTTCTCCAGCTAAGAAGAAACCGTCCCCAAGTATTGTGTTCAGAAAGGTAAGACCAACGCAACATGAGAGAGCTGCATGTTCCATCTCTGCCTGCCTGCCGAACTCTTCCTTTCGCTCTGCGTGTTTAGGCTGCTCCTGTTCTGCTGGTGGAATTGGATAAGCATCGTTTTAATTCTGTGGCTGGTGACCATATCTGTCCTATGTTAGTGTAAGGTGAAGTTGCCCCTAAGACACTGATCCTGGGTCAGCTTAGCGTTTTCTCCACTAATGGTTAAGGTTAGGATTGGGGGGGAGAGGAAGCTGATCCTGGATCACCCCACAATGTCCTGTGTTGGTCCTGATGCACAATTATTTTGGTTGCAACAGAGTCAGGGTCTGGGTCTGTCAGTTGGTCCAGTCATAATACTGCCACCGTCCAGGAAAGAGGCCATAGCTCCATTGACAGACTGCTGAGGTACGGTAGAATTCATTCCAAAGAAACTTTCCAACACAGAGTTGAAGGTATGACATAGTTATGAGGTAGGTAGTTTACATTTACATTTACATTTAGCAGACGCTCTTATCCAGAGCGACTTACAGGAGCAATTAGGGTTAAGTGCCTTGCTCAAGGGCACATCGACAGATTTTTCACCTAGTCGGCTCGGGGATTAGAACCAGCGACCTTTCGGTTACTGGTACAACGCTCTTAACCACTAAGCTACCTGCCGCCCTAAGTAGTTGTTGGTAGTAGGTAGTAGACCTTGGTGAATATTGCTGGTTTTGCAGTTAGGTATCCCATGTGGTATTGTGTTGTTGTATTAGTGCGAGCTATAATGTTTAAATTATCTGAAGGTTGGCTAAAGGGGCAGGGGATTAAGGTTGGCTTTTGAGGGAGGACTGTGGGGCATGTTTCAGCTGTCGACAGCTGGACAACAACTATACCCCCGTCCCCTCGACGACCTGTCTCTACCCATCTATTCATCCACATGAGACGCTGTCACAACATACAGTCCTGGAAGACAGAGAAATAGAGTGAAAGACCAAAGTAAAATGGTAAGAGAAACACACTGCTACATAAGGAGTAAGGACTCTGTCTGCCTCGGGCATGGGTAGGCAACCCTGGTCCTGGTCCTTCTGGTCCCTTCATGTTTTTGATGTAGTCTATCTGGAAGACCAGATGTGTTGAATTTAGTCGATCACTGAAGCGATCATTTAGCTTTAGTAGTGCCTCGTTGGGACAGAATCCTGCTCTAACTGAGGCGCTCCAGGAACCGGGTTGCCTACCCCGACTTAGGGGGTTCCATTTCTGTGATTACGCCACACGTGGGGGGGGGGTCTATCAGCATTTTCAGAGGGGCCTAGAGCCAGGGTGTTGGAAGACAGGCCGAATTCACCACACCACATGCAGCAATATTGCATTTTTAAATTTTAAAGGCAAGTGCAGCACAAGCATTGGGCTATTTGCGCTGCAGGAATAGTTGTCATGTCACTAATGAGGGTCTAAAACTGAGCCTTGCGGGACACCACAATAGTTATGTAGAATAGTTCTTAGCATAGTGTTTGTTTCCTCGTTTACCAGTTTTCACTGACCGCCTGTTGACTTGATCTTCAATGATTTTATTTGTAACCGTAGGCTACCTAACTCTAAACTGGCCTTGATCAGATTCCAGACTAATCAATGCATGGGTTGAAGCTTTGCACGATAACTTCTTTCTTTTGCGTCAACCTTGACTACTAACTAGCCTCTTATTAACCTTTGCACTCATGTTTGTAAAGTGCATGGTTTTTACCTTTTTAAAATATATAAATCAAAGTGATGATTAATTTAGGCCTATAGTAATGGCATAGTTATCTGGCTGTAATGGATAGGGTTGCAACATGCTGGTAACATTCCCAACATTCCCAGGTTTTCCAGAAATCCCGGTTGAAGGGGGATTACTTATTTCCTCTTGATTACTGGAATATTCCAACTGGGATTTCTGGGAAACCTGGGAATGTTGGGAAATGTACAGACATTCTGCAACCCTACTAGAATTACATTAGTAGATGGCGCCCTATTCCCGATATAGTGCACTACCCTCTGGGTCCTGGTCAAAAGTAGTGCACTACCCTATGGGTCTGGTCAAATGTAGTGCACTATATACGGATTAGGGTGCCATTTGGGACTCATTCATAGTGTGACTGTTGTGCTGGTCGGTCTGTCCTCAGGTGGGGGGTGATAAATGGGTTCTAGGAGGGAAACAACCGGAGTTCAAAGAAGAGGAATTCGGCAACAGCGGCACCACTCCACTTCACACTAAGGTACGCTTTATAACACCACTCCACTTTACACTAAGGTACGCTTTATAACACCACTCCACTTTACACAAAGGTACGCTTTATAACACCACTCCACTTCACACTAAGGTACGCTTTATAACACCACTCCCACTTCACACTAAGGTACGTTTTATAACACCACTCCACTTCACACTAAGGTACGCTTTATAACACCACTCCACTTCACACTAAGGTACGCTTTATACACCACTCCACTTTACACTAAGGTACGCTTTATAACACCACTCCACTTCACACTAAGGTACGCTTTATAACACCACTCCACTTCACACTAAGGTACGCTTTATAACACCACTCCACTTCACACTAAGGTACGCTTTATAACACCACTCCACTTCACACTAAGGTACGCTTTATAACACCACTCCACTTCACACTAAGGTACGCTTTTATAACACCACTCCACTTTACACTAAGGTACGCTTTATACCACCACTCCACTTCACACTAAGGTACGCTTTATAACACCACTCCACTTTACACTAAGGTACGCTTTATAACACCACTCCACTTCACACTAAGGTACGCTTTATAACACCACTCCACTTCACACTAAGGTACGCTTTATAACACCACTCCACTTCACACTAAGGTACGCGTTATAACACCACTCCACTTTACACTAAGGTACGCTTTATAACACCACTCCACTTTACACTAAGGTACGCTTTATAACACCACTCCACTTACACTAAGGTACGCTTTATAACACCACTCCACTTCACACTAAGGTACGCTTTATAACACCACTCCACTTCACACTAAGGTACGCTTTATAACACCACTCCACTTCACACTAAGGTACGCTTTATAACACCACTCCACTTCACACTAAGGTACGCTTTATAACACCACTCCACTTCACACTAAGGTACGCGTTATAACACCACTTCACACTAAGGTACGCTTTATAACACCACTCCACTTTACACTAAGGTACGCTTTATAACACCACTCCACTTTACACTAAGGTACGCTTTATAACACCACGCCACTTCACACTAAGGTACGCTTTATAACACCACTCCACTTTACACTAAGGTACGCTTTATAACACCACTCCACTTCACACTAAGGTACGCTTTATAACACCACTCCATTTCACACTAAGGTACGCTTTATAACACCACTCCACTTCACACTAAGGTACGCTTTATAACACCACTCCACTTCACACTAAGGTACGCTTTATAACACCACTCCACTTTACACTAAGGTACGCTTTATAACACCACTCCACTTCACACTAAGGTACGCTTTATAACTCCACTTTACACTAAGGTACGCTTTATAACACCACTCCACTTCACACTAAGGTACGCTTTATAACACCACTCCACTTCACACTAAGGTACGCTTTATAACACCACTCCACTTTACACTAAGGTACGCTTTATAACACCACTCCACTTCACACTAAGGTACGCTTTATAACACCACTCCACTTCACACTAAGGTACGCTTTATAACACCACTCCACTTTACACTAAGGTACGCTTTATAACACCACTCCACTTCACACTAAGGTACGCTTTATAACACCACTCCACTTTACACTAAGGTACGCTTTATAACACCACTCCACTTCACACTAAGGTACGCTTATAACACCACTCCACTTTACACTAAGGTACGCTTTATAACACCACTCCACTTCACACTAAGGTACGCTTTATAACACCACTCCACTTTACACTAAGGTACGCTTTATAACACCACTCCACTTCACACTAAGGTACGCTTTATAACACCACTCCACTTACACTAAGGTACGCTTTATAACACCACTCCACTTTACACTAAGGTACGCTTTATAACACCACTCCACTTCACACTAAGGTACGCTTTATAACACCACTCCACTTTACACTAAGGTACGCTTTATAACACCACTCCACTTTACACTAAGGTACGCTTTATAACACCACTCCACTTTACACTAAGGTACGCTTTATAACACCACTCCACTTCACACTAAGGTACGCTTTATAACACCACTCCACTTTACACTAAGGTACGCTTTATAACACCACTCCACTTTACACTAAGGTACGCTTTATAACACCACTCCACTTCACACTAAGGTACGCTTTATAACACCACTCCACTTCACACTAAGGTACGCTTTATAACACCACTCCACTTCACACTAAGGTACGCTTTATAACACCACTCCACTTTACACTAAGGTACGCTTTATAACACCACTCCACTTCACACTAAGGTACGCTTTATAACACCACTCCACTTCACACTAAGGTACGCTTTATACAGTGCCTTGCAAAAGTATTCATCCCCCATGGCGTTTTTCCTATTTTGTTGCGTTACAACCTGTAATTTAAATAGATTTTTATTTGGATTTCATGTAATGGACATACACAAAATAGTCCAAATGGGTGAAGTGAAATGAAAAAAATAACTTCTTTAAAAAAATTCAAAAAAATAAATAACGGAAAAGTGGTGAGTGCATATGTATTCACCCCCTTTGCTATGAAGCCCCTAAATAAGATCTGGTGCAACCAATTACCTTCAGAAGTCACATAATTAGTTAGATTGCACACAGGTGGATTTTTTAAGTGTCACATGATCTGTCACATGATCTCAGTATATATACACCTGTTCTGAAAGGCCCCAGAGTCTGCAACACCACTAAGCAAGGGGCACCACCAAGCAAGCTGCACCATGAAGACCAAGGAGGTACCAAACAAGTACAGATCGGGTTGGGTTCTAATAAAATATATCCCAAACTTTGAACATCCCACGGAGCACCATTAAATCCATTATTTAAAAATGGAAAGAATATGGCACCACAACAAACCTGCCAAGAGAGGGCCGCCCACCACAACTCACGGACCAGGCAAGGAGGGCATTAATCAGAGAGGCAACAAAGAGACCAAAGATAACCCTGAAGGAGCTGCAAAGCTCCACAGCGGAGATTGGAGTATCTGTCCATAGGACCACTTTAAGCCGTACACTCCACAGAGCTGGACTTTATGGAAGAGTGGCCAGAAAAAAACCATTGCTTAAAGAAAAAAATAAGTAAACACGTTTGTTGTTCGCCAAAAGGCATGTGGGAGACTCCCCAAACATATGGAAGAAGGTACTCTGGTCAGATGAGACAAAAATTGAGCTTTTTGGCCATCAAGGAAAACACTATGTCTGGCACAAACCCAACACCTCTCATCACCCTGAGAACACTATCATCATGCTGTGGGGATGTTTTTAATCAGTAGGGACTGGGAAACTGGTCAGAATTGAAGGAGTGATGGATGGCGCTAAATACAGGGAAATTCTTGAGGGAAACCTGTTTCAGTCTTCCAGAGATTTGAGACTGGGATTGAGGTTCACCTTCCAGCAGGACAATAACCCTAAGCATACTGCTAAAGCAACACTCGAGTGGTTTAAGGGGAAACATTTAAATGTCTTGGAATGGCCTAGTCAAAGCCCAGACCTCAATCCAATTGAGAATCTGTGGTATGACTTAAAGATTGCTGTACACCAGTGGAACCCATCCAACTTGAAGGAGCTGGAGCAGTTTTGCCTTGAAGAATGGGCAAAAATCCCAGTGGCTAGATGTGCCAAGCTTATAGAGACATACCCCAAGAGACTTGCAGCTGTAATTGCTGCAAAAGGTGGCTCTACAAAGTATTGACTTTGGGGGGGGGGTGAATAGTTATGCACGCTCAAGTTTTCAGTTTTTTGGTTTTATTTCTTGTTTCACAAAAGACAATATTTTGCATATTCAAAGTGGTAGGCATGTTGTGTAAATCACATGGTACAAACGCCACAAAAATCCAAAATCCAACAAAATAGGAAAAATGCCAAGGGGGGTGAATACTTTCGCAAGCCATAAAATTGTGCTCCTAACTGACCTAAAACAAGGAATTTTTACTAGGATTAAATGTCAGGAATTGTGAAAAACTGAGTTTAAATGTATTTGGCTAAGGTGTATGTCAACTTCCAACTTCAACTGTATACTTACTGGTTTTTCCATTTACCTGTTGATGCCGAATGAATGTATTTAAGTTGGGCAGCATAAATAATACTTTTTTAGATTTTTAGCAGACGCTCTTATCCAGAGCGACTTACAGTTAGTGAGTACATACATTTTCATACTGGCCGTCCGTGGGAAACGAACCCACAACCCTGGCGTTGCAAGCGCCATGCTCTACCAACTGAGCTACAGGGGACTACAGTAATGTAATAATAAATCATTAGGTTTGGTAATGCTATTCCCCCTGCTTGTTTACGTTGTTTGATTGTTTTAGTTTTGACACAGTATTTTCTTCCTCCCAAGATACATTTTCTCAGGAGTTTGTCCCACTGTTTAAAAGTATTTGTAGTAATAGCTATTGGTAGATTCTGGAACAGAAATAGAAATCTTGGGAGGACATTCATTTTAATAGTTTCAATTCTTCCTGTTATTGTTAAAGGTACTAATTTGCATCTTTGTAGGTCCTGTTTCAGCTGGTTTTCCAGTGTTCCAAAATTATACTACTGTAATTTCATTAGATTTTAGGGGATAGTAATCGTTCACTGATGTAGTTTCATCAGATTTTAGGGGATAGTTGTCACGCCCCGGGGGTGAATACTTTCGCAAGCCATAAAATGGTAACAGGTTTTTTAAATTTTCTTTTTTTTTCCAATTCACCCAACTTATTGTGGGAAGCTTGTGGAAGGCTACCCGACACGTATGACCCAAGTTAAACAATTTAAAGGCAATGCTACCAAATACTAATTGAGTGTATGTAAACTTCTGACCCACTGGGAATGTGATGAAATAAATAAAAGTAGAAATAAATCATTCTCTCTACTATTATTCTGACATTTCACATTCTTAAAATAAAGTGGTGATCCTAACTGACCTAAGACAGGGGATTTTTACAAGGATTAAATGTCAGGAATTGTGAAAAACTGAGTTTAAATGCATTTGGCTAAGGTGTATGTAAACTTCCAATTGTATATGCTATTTAGCAATCACTTTAAAGTATTAATTCCACATGGAATGGCATGTTTTTATGTTATCTTTCATCCTCCTCCTATGATGTGTTTTTGATAAGGTACTCCTCCTCCTCCTATGATGTGTTTTTGATAAGGTACTCCTCCTCCTATGATGTGTTTTTGATAAGGTACTCCTCCTCCTCCTATGATGGGTTTTTGATAAGGTACTCCTCCTCCTATGATGTGTGTTTGATAAGGTACTCCTCCTCCTCCTATGATGGGTTTTTGATAAGGTACTCCTCCTCCTCCTATGATGGGTTTTTGATAAGGTACTCCTCCTCCTCCTATGATGGGTTTTTGATAAGGTACTCCTCCTCCTCCTATGATGGGTTTTTGATAAGGTACTCCTCCTATGATGGGTTTTTGATAAGGTACTCCTCCTCCTATGATGGGTTTTTGATAAGGTACTCCTCCTCCAATGATGGGTTTTTGATAAGGTACTCCTCCTCCTCCTATGATGTGTTTTTGATAAGGTACCCCTCCTCCAATGATGGGTTTTTGATAAGGTACTCCTCCTCCAATGATGGGTTTTTGATAAGGTACTCCTCCTCCTCCCATGATGTGTTTTTGATAAGGTACCCCTCCTCCAATGATGGGTTTTTGATAAGGTACTCCTCCTCCAATGATGGGTTTTTGATAAGGTACTCCTCCTCCTCCTATGATGTGTTTTTGATAAGGTACCCCTCCTCCTATGATGTGTTTTTGATAAGGTACTCCTCCTCCAATGATGGGTTTTTGATAAGGTACTCCTCCTCCTCCTATGATGGGTTTTTGATAAGGTACTCCTCCTCCAATGATGGGTTTTTGATAAGGTACTCCTCCTCCTCCAATGATGGGTTTTTGATAAGGTACTCCTCCTCCTCCAATGATGTGTTTTTGATAAGGTACTCCTCCTCCTCCAATGATGGGTTTTTGATAAGGTACTCCTCCTCCTCCTATGATGTGTTTTTGATAAGGTACTCCTCATGTTCTCTTGGTTTGTGCTTTGTTTTTGTTTCTTAGAAGAAACGTAAGCGGTTTGGACACAAGTGGACCAAGGTAACCAGGAGACCGAGTATATCGGTAAGTGGGATGCAGGGTTGGGGACCATTTAATTTAAATTCCAGTCAATTTAGGAAGTACACTGAAATTACAATTACTGTTACCGCAATTTTGCGACCTTATATAAGCTACAGATAAGGTCAAAGGTCGAGATTGTTCTGTTGTCCCCACAGAGAAAAGCCAAGATGAAAGAAGCTGTGAAAGAACTGGAAGAGGAAGAAGAGGAAGAAGAGGAAGAAGAGGCAGAAGAGGAAGAAGAGGCGGAAGAGGAGGAAGAGGAAGTAGAAGAAGAAAAGCCACAGAAGAAGATGAGGACTCCTCAACAGGTATTTGTTGGTTGATTGATTGATTGAATTCATGATTATTGGTTGGTTTTGGTTGTCACTGTCCTTGCGTACAAAAAGTATTTTGATGATATGATGTCAATTACATTTCTCATAATTCTGTGTAATCTTAGGTACGGGTGAAAGAGAAGGAGGAGGAAGTAGAGTGGAGGCCAGGGAAAATTGTGAGTTTTTTTATTTAATTTAAACTTTATTTAACCAGGAAGTCCCATTGAGTTCAGAATACCTCTTTCTAATGGGAGGCGTTGTCTGTCTTCACTATATAATGGATATGCATTAGCCACTCCATAGTCAAGGTCAATTAAATAAATAATGACATGCAGAGGACCTAGAATAGAGCCTTGAGGGACACCACCAGTTTTAACACATGGATACATTGTCAGGAGTGAGGAGTCCTCAACATGCATTATTATTATTAGCTGGCACCCTATTCTCTAAATAGTGTATATACAGAGCCTTCAGAAAGTATTCATACCCCTTGGCTTAATCCAATTTTTTTGGTGTTACAGCCTGAATTAAAAATTGATTAAATATATTTTTTTAAATTCTCACCCATCTACACACAATATCCCATAATGACAAAGTTAAATTATTTTGGTTGAAATATTTGCAAATGTATTTAAAATGAAATGCAGAAATCTCTCATTTACATAAGTATTCACACCACTGAGTCAATACATGTTAGAATCACCTTTGGCAGCGATTACAGCTGTGAGTCTTTCTGGGTAAGTCTCTAAGAGCTTTCCACACCTGGATTGTGCAACATTTGCCCATTTATTATTTTCAGAATTCTTCAAGCTCTGTCAAATTGGTTGTTGATCATTGCTAGACAACCATTTTCAAGTCTTGCCATAGATTTTCAAGCAGATTTAAGTCAAAACTATAACTCGGCCACTCACTGTCTTGGTAAACAACTCCAGTGTAGATTTGGCCTTGTGTTTTAGGTTATTGTCCTACTGAAAGGTGAATTCATCTCCCAGTGTCTGGTGGAAGGCAGACTGAACCAGGTTTTCCTCTAGGATTTTGCCTGTACTGAGCACCATTCTGTTTCTTTTTTATCATAAAAAACTCCCCAGTCCTTAACGATTACAAGCATACCCATAACATGATGCAGCCACCACTATACTTGAAAACATGGAGAGTGGTACTCAGTAATGTGTTGTATTGGATTTGCCCCAAACATAACACTTTATATTCAGGACAAAAGGTGAATTGCTTTGCCACATTTTTTGCAGTATTACTGTAGTGCATTGTTGCAAAAAGGAATGCATGTTTTGGAATATTTTTATTCTGTACAGGCTTCCTTCTTTTCACTCTGTCATTTAGGTTAGTATTGTGGAGTAACTATAATGTTGGTGATCCTCAGTTTTCTCCTATCACAGCCATTAAACTATATAACTGTCTTAAAGTCACTGTTTGCCTCATGGTGAAATCCCTGAACGGTTTCCTTCCTTTCCGGCAACTGAGTTAGGAAGGACGCCTGTATCTTTGTAGTGACTGGGTGTATTGATACACCATCCAAAGTGTAATTAATTAATAACTTCACCATGCTCAAAGGGATATTCAATGTCTGCTTTTCTTTACCAATCTACCAATAGGTGTCCATTTTTGCAAGGCATTGGAAAACCTCCTTGGTCTTTGTGGTTGAATCTGTGTTTGAAATCCACTGCTTGACTGAGGGACCTTACAGATAATTGTATGTGTGGGGTACAGAGATGGGCCCCTTAGTTCCAGTGAAGGGAAATGTTAACGCTACAGCGTACAATGACAATGCTTCCAACTTTGTGGCAACAGTTTGCGGAAGGCCCTTTCCTGTTTCAGCATGACAATGCCCCCGTGCACAAAGCGAGGTCCATACAGAAATGGTTTGTTGACATCGGTGTGAAAGAACTTGACTAGCCTGCACAGAGCCCTGACCTCAACCCCGTCGAACACCTTTGGGATTAATTGGAGCGCCGACTGCAAGCCAGGCCTAATCGCCCAACATCAGTGCCCGACCTCACTAATGCTCTTGTGGCTGAATGGAAGCAAGTCTCCGCAGCAATGTTCCAACATCTAGTGGAAAGCCTTCCTAGAAGAGTGGAGGCTGTTATAGCAGCAAAGGAGGGGACCAACTCCATATTAATGCCCATGATTTTGGAATGAAATGTTCGATGAGCAGGTGTCCACATACTGTTGGTCATCTAGTGCATTCGGAAAGTATTCAAACCCCTTCCCATTTTCCACATTTTGTTACGTTAGAGCCTTATTCTAAAATTGATTAAATAAATAAAAATACTAATCAATCTACACACAATACCCCATAATGACAAAGCGAAAACAGGTTTTTAGAAGTTTTTGCAAATGTATAAAAAATATATATATATATATCTTGACTGAGGGACCTTACATTGTATTTGTGGGGTACAGAGATGAAGTAGTCATTCAAAAATCATGTTAAACACTATTATTGCACACAGAGTGAGTCCATGCAACTTATTATATTATAAACTTATTATGTGACTTGTTAAGCACATTTTTACTCCTGAATTTATTTTGCCTTGCCATAACAAAGGGGTTGAATGCTTTTCATTTGTAATGAATTTGTAAAAATGTCAAGCATAATTCCACTTTGACATTATGGGGTATTGTGTATAGGCCGGTGACCAAAAACATCTAAATTGAATCCATTTTTAATTCAGGCTGCAACAACAAAATGTGGATAAAGTCACTGTAAGGGTGCTATTTGGGACGCATCCAAGGTAACGTTGATGTTTGTGAGTGACATTTCTCTTCCTGTTGTCATCCTGCAGGTGTATCACCACAGCGAGGGAAGTGACTCTGAAGAGGCGCATGAACAGACTAATAATATCTCACGGATAACGGTGAGTCCTACTCTTATTTTCCTTCATGTACAATCTCCCTCGCCCAGGTACTTTGCTTATGGACTTTATTTATATCTCTCTCTCTCTCTCCTCTCTCTCTCTCTCTCTCTCTCTCTCTCTCTCATCTCCTCTCTCGTCTCTCTCCTCTCTCTCTCTCTCTTCCCTCTCTCTCTCTCTCTCTTTCCCTCTCTCTCTCTCTCTTCCCTCTCTCTCGTGCTCTCTCGTGCTCCCTCTCTCTCTCTCCCCCCCCCCCCCCCTCTTCCTCTCTCAGGGCAAATTGAAGAAGCGTACTCAGGGCTGTGGTCGGTGTGCTCCCTGTCTGCGTACAGATTGTGGTAAATGTGTCTACTGCCTGGACAAGCCCAAGAACGGCGGGGCGAACAAAAAGAAACAGAAGTGCAAGTACCGCCGGTGTCTTAATATGGTAATATAAACACTTGCAGATGATTTTGGTTATGGTATATGGTTCTTAAGAGAATATGTATTTTCAATTTGTATTAGGTTATTTTGCTAATTCTTGTGTGACGTGTTTTTCATAGATAGTTTAAATTGTATCACTCTCACACACACGCACACACACACACACTTAATGCCTCTTATAGGTGTATCTATGTATGCAGTACCAGTCCAAAGTTTGGACACACCTACTCTTGCAAGGGTTTTTCTTTATTTCTACATTGTAGAATAATAGTGAAGACATCAAAACTATGAAATAACACATATGGAATCATGTAGTAACCAAAAAAGTGTTAAACAAATCAAAATATATTTTATATTTGAGATTCTTCAAATAGCCACCCTTTGCCTTGATGACAGCTTTGCATACTCTTGGCATTCTCTCAACCAGTTTAATGACCTGGAATGCATTTCAATTAACAGGGGTGCCTTGTTAAGTTAATTTGTGGAATTTCTTTCCTTCTTAATGCGTTTGAGACAATCAGTCTTCACTATTATTCTACAATGTAGAAAATAGTAAAAATAAAGAAAAACCCTTGAATGAGTAGGTGTCAACTTTTGACTGGTTCTGTGTGTGTGTGTGTGTGTGTGTGTGTGTGTGTGTGTGTACAGTGAGGGGAATAAAGTATTTGATCCCCTGCTGATTTTGTATGTTTGCCCACTGACAAAGAAATGATCAGTCTATCATTTTGATGGTAGGTTTATTTGAACAATGAGAGACAGAATAACAACAAAAAAATCCAGAAGAACGCATGTCAAAAATGTTATAAATTGATTTGCATTTTAATGAGGGAAATAAGTATTTGACCCCCTCTCAATCAGAAAGATTTCTGGCTCCCAGGTGTCTTTTATACAGGTAACGAGCTGAGATTAGGAGCACACTCTTAAAGGGAGTGCTCCTAATCTCAGCTTGTTACCTGTATAAAAGACACCTGATTCCAAACTCTCCACCATGGCCAAGACCAAAGAGCTCTCCAAGGATGTCAGGGACAAGATTGTAGACCTACACAAGGCTGGAATGGGCTACAAGACCATCGCCAAGCAGCTTGGTGAGAAGGTGACAACAGTTGCTGCGATTATTCGCAAATGGAAGAAACACAAAAGAACTGTCAATCTCCCTCGGCCTGGGGCTCCATGCAAGATCTCACCTCGTGGAGTTGCAATGATCATGAGAACGGTGAGGAATCAGCCCAGAACTACACGGGAGGATCTTGTCAATGATCTCAAGGCAGCTGGGACCATAGTCACCAAGAAAACAATTGGTAACACACTACGTCGTGAAGGACTGAAATCCTGCAGCGCCCGCAAGGTCCCCCTGCTCAAGAAAGCACATATACAGGCCCGTCTGAAGTTTGCCAATGAACATCTGAATGATTCAGAGGAGAACTGGGTGAAAGTGTTGTGGTCAGATGAGACCAAAATCGAGCTCTTTGGCATCAACTCAACTCGCCGTGTTTGGAGGAGGAGGAATGCTGCCTATGACCCCAAGAACACCATCCCCACCGTCAAACATGGAGGTGGAAACAATATGGTTTGGGGGTGTTTTTCTGCTAAGGGGACAGGACAACTTCACCGCATCAAAGGGACGATGGACGGGGCCATGTACCGTCAAATCTTGGGTGAGAACCTCCTTCCCTCAGCCAGGGCATTGAAAATGGGTCGTGGATGGGTATTCCAGCATGACAATGACCCAAAACACATGGCCAAGGCAACAAAGGAGTGGCTCAAGAAGAAGCGCATTAAGGTCCTGGAGTGGCCTAGCCAGTCTCCAGACCTTAATCCCATAGAAAATCTGTGGAGGGAGCTGAAGGTTCGAGTTGTCAAACGTCAGCCTCGAAACCTTAATGACTTGGAGAAGATCTGCAAAGAGGAGTGGGACAAAATCCCTCCTGAGATGTGTGCAAACCTGGTGGCCAACTACAAGAAACGTCTGACCTCTGTGATTGAAGTACTAAATAATGTTTTGCAGAGGGGTCAAATACTTATTTCCCTCATTAAAATGCAAATCAATTCATAACATTTTTGAAATGTGTTTTTCTGGATTGTTTTGTTGTTATTCTGTCTCTCACTGTTCAAATAAACCTACCATTAAAATTATAGACTGATCATTTCTTTGTCAGTGGGCAAACGTACAAAATCACCAGGGGATCAAATACTTTTTTCCCTCACTGTATGTGTGTGTGTGTGTGTGTGTGTGTGTGTGTGTGTGTGTGTGTATGTATGTGTAATTAAAAGCCTTCTCTCTCCAGCCCACCAAAAGGGACTTAATGGGAAGCTACTTTAAGAAACACCTGAAAGAAGACCCAGGTGGCCTGAGTGTTCCCATTGGACCAGGAAGTGTACTACCAAGAAGTGTTCCAGTTGGTCCAGGTGGTGTTCCGATTGGTCCAGGAAGTGTTCCAATTGGTCCAGGTGGTGTTCCGATTGGTCCAGGAGGTGCTTCAATTGGTTTAGGAGGTATTCCGATTGGTCCAGTTGTTCCTATTTTACCAGGAACTGTAGTAGGATGTGGAGCAGGATATGTACTATTAGGAAAGACACTTTCAAAATGGCGTATGGTAAAACCAGGAAATGGACCAGGAAGTGGACCAGGTAGGGGACGAGGGAAGGGACGTGGTCGGCCCCCTAAACACTTCACCAAACGGAGGAGACGGGGATGGAGCCAGATCCCCTCGAGTGATACGACAGAGACAGACGAGACTGAGGAGGAAGAGGAACCAGAGCTCAGCCCTGGGGCAGGGGGAGAGGATGGAGAGGGGTGGGCAGAACTACAGGAGAGGGACGACGACGATGTGCCTGAACAAATACCGCAGGTAAGCGCTCTCTGACTGTCTCTGTCTCTGTGGTTGCATCCCAATAGCCTCTCTCTGACTGTCTCTGTGGTTTCATCCCAATAGCCTCTCCCTGACTGTCTCTGTGGTTGCATCCCATTAACCTCTCCTTTCTCCTTCATGGATTTGAAAGGAAATGGCTGGTATATTATTATAATAATAATAATAATAATAATAATAATAGTGATAATAATAATAATATGGCTGGTATATGGTAATAAAATGGCTGGTAAATAATAATAATAATAATATGGCTGGTATATAATAATAATAATAATAATAATATGGCTGGTATATAATAATAATAATAATAATAATAGTAATAATAATATGGCTGGTATATAATAATAATAATAATAATAATAATAATAATAATAGTAATAATATGGCTGGTATATAATAATAATAATAATAATAATAATAATAATATGGCTGGTATATAATAATAATAATAATAATAATAATAATAATAATATGGCTGGTATATAATAATAATAATAATAATAATAATAATAATAACAATAATAATAATAATAGTGATAATAATATGGCTGGTATATAATAACAATAATAATAATAATAATAATAATAATAATAATATGGCTGGTATATAATAATAATAATAATAATAATAATAATAATATGGCTGGTATATAATAATAATAATATGGTTGGTATATAATAATAATAATAATGATAATAATAATAATATGGCTGGTATATAATAATAATAATAAAAATAATAATAAGATGGCTGGTATATAATAATAATAATAATAATAATATGGCTGGTATATAATAATAATAATAATTATAATTATATGGCTGGTATATAATAATAATAATAATAATAATAATAATAATATGGCTGGTATATAATAATAATAATATGGCTGGTATATGCACTCTCCTAGCCCATGCCTATACCTATCCAATAATGTTAAATTTAGGGTAGGTAGGGAACGAGTGCACACTTCAAGAGGAAGGAGAGATTATTGGGACATGTCTTTGTTCTGTCCTAAACGGGACACGTTAAATCGGCATACAAGCCCCATCTGGCCCGTGGGCCGCCAGTTTGAGACCTCTGTTCTAGATCAGGGGTTTTCAGTATTTGAACTATTCAAGAGCTTCCACTCCCCATATCAGTGGTTTCCAACCGGTGTGCTGTGAGGAACTCTCAGGTGTGCTGTGAGGAACTCTCAGGTGTGCTGTGAGGAACTCTCAGGTGTGCTGTGAGGAACTCTCAGGTGTGCTGTGAGGAACTCTCAGGTGTGCTGTGAGGAACTCTCAGGTGTGCTGTGAGGAACTCTCAGGTGTGCTGTGAGGATCTCTCAGGTGTGCTGTGAGGATCTCTCAGGTGTGCTGTGAGGAACTCTCAGGTGTGCTGTGAGGAACTCTCAGGTGTGCTGTGAGGAACTCTCAGGTGTGCTGTGAGGAACTCTCAGGTGTGCTGTGAAACTTTTCTTAATCTTAATCTTTTTTTTTGTTGAACACTCACGTATAAATGTACATGTGACCTGTGGAATGCACATGTAACATTTTGACTTGGGAGCGTCAGCTCAGATGATACATTGAATGGGCACGTGGTTACGTCTGTGTCGCATTGCTTTGTGTCCGTGGTTGCACCTTTACAATGCAGAAAACCGCTCGTCTCAAACTGTTCAAAACTACAGGAGCTTCATGTTATTTTTTTTTTGGGGGGGGGGTGCGGAACACTCTTAAAGGTGTGTATTATCATGAGCAAGGAACTATCCAAACTACGAAAATAGTTCAAATAATCCCTATTTTAATATATAGATGATTTTGCATTATGGATCAGTTGAGATGTAGGTCGTTACCTCTAAATAAATGAATAGGGACATTTTAGGTGTGCAGCAGAATTTGTTATCCACTGAAGTAAATGATGTTCCTTTTATCTTCCTCTGGTTCTAGATGTTTCCGTCCAATAGGATGGTAAACCCCACTAGTGGGGTGTCTGGGTCAGAGGAACCCAGCAGCTGTGGCCAGGTAAGGACCAACAATGCATACAAATGTACGTATACATATATACTGTGTGTGCATTCAGAAAGTATTCAGACCCCTTGACTTTTTCCACATTTTGTTACGTTACAGCCTTATTCTAAAATTGATTAAATTGTTTTTTTTCCCCCTCATCAATCTACACACAATACCATAATGACAAAGCAAAAACAGGTTTAAAAAACAACAACATAAATATCACATTTACATAAGTATTCGGACCCTTTACTCAGTACTTTGTTGAAGCACCTTTGGCAGCGATTAGAGCCTCGAGTCTTCTTGGGTGTGATGCAACAAGCTTGGGAAAACCTACAGTACCAGTCAAAAGTTTGGACACACCTACTCATTCCAGGGTTTTTCTTTCTTTTTTACTATTTTCTACATTGTAGAATAATAGTGAAGACATCAAAACTATAAAATAACACATATGGAATCATGTAGTATCCAAAAAAGTATTAAACAAATCAAAATATATTTTAGATTTTAGATTCTTCAAAAAGCCACCCTTTGCCTTGATGACAGCGTTACACACTCTTGGCACACACACACACGCATGACATTGATAACATACAGCTGGCGGGATATACGCTGCATCGGCAAGATAGAACAGCCGCCTCCGGTAAGACAAGGGGTGGCGGTCTGTGTATATTTGTAAACAACAGCTGGTGCACGAAATCTAATACTAAGGAAGTCTCAAGGTTTTGCTCGCGTGAGGTAGAGTATCTCATGATAAGCTGTAGACCACACTATTTACCAAGAGAGTTTTCATCTATATTCTTCGTAGCTGTCTGTTTACCACCACAAACCGATGCTGGCACTAAGACCTCACTCAATGAGCTGTATACGGCCATAACTAAACAGGAAAACGCTCATCCAGATGCAGCGCTCCTAGTGGCCGGGGACTTTAATGCAGGGAAACTTAAATCCGTTCTACCTAATTTCTACCAGCATGTTAAATGTGCAACCAGAGGGGGAAAAAAACTCTAGACCACCTTTACTCCACACACAGAGACACGTACAAAGCTCACCCTCGCCCACCATTTGGCAAATCTGACCATAACTCTATCCTCCTGATTCCTGCTAACAAGCAAAAACTAAAGCAGGAAGCACCAGTGACTCGGTTAATAAGGAAGTGGTCAGATGACGCAGATGCTAAGCTACAGGACTGTTTTGCTAGCACAGACTGGAATATGTTCCGGGATTCTTCCGATGGCATTGAGGAGTACACCACATCAGTCACTGGCTTCATCAATAAGTGCACTGATGATGTCGTCCCCACAGTGACCGTACGTACATACCCCAAACAGAAGCCATGGATTACAGGAAACATCCGCACTGAGCTAAAGGGTAGAGCTGCCGCTTTCAAGGAGCGGGACTTTAACCCGGACGCTTATAAGAAATCCCGCTATGCCCTCCGACGAACCATCAAACAGGCAAAGAGTCAATACAGGACTAAGATCAAATTGTACTACACCAGCTCTGACGCTCGTCGGATGTGGCAGTGCTTGCAAACTATTACAGACTACAAAGCACAGCCGCAAGCTGCCCAGTGACACGAGCCTACCAGACGAGCTAAATCACTTCTATGCTCGCTTCGAAGCAAGCAACACTGAAGCATGCATGAGAGCACCAGCTGTTCCGGATGACTATGTGATCACGCTCTCCGTAGCCGATGTGAGTAAGACCTTTAAACAGGTCAACATTCACAAGGCCGCAGGGCCAGACGGATTACCAGGACGTGTACTCCGAGCATGCACTGACCAGCTGGCAAGTGGCTTCACTGACATTTTCAACATGTCCCTGACTGAGTCTGTAATACCAACATGTTTCAAGCAGACCACCATAGTCCCTGTGCCCAAGGACACTAAGATTAAATGACTACCAACCCGTAGCACTCATGTCTGTAGCCATGAAGTGCTTTGAAAGGCTGGTCATGGCTCACATAAACACCATTATTATAACTCCAGACCCACTCCAATTTGCATACCGCCCCAACAGATCCACAGATGATGCAATCTCTATTGCACTCCACACTGCCCTCTCCCACCTGGACAAGAGGAACACCTATGTGAGAATGCTATTCATTGACTACAGCTCAGCGTTCAACACCATAGTGCCCTCAAAGCTCATCACTAAGCTAAGGACCCTGGGACTAAACACCTCCCTCTGCAACTGGATCCTGGACTTCCTGACGGGCCGCCCCCAGGTGGTAAGGGTAAGTAACAACACATCTGCCACGCTGATCCTCAACACTGGGGCCCCTCAGGGGTGCGTGCTCAGTCCCCTCCTGTACTCCCTGTTCACCCACGACTGTGTGGCCATGCACGACTCCAACACCATCATTAAGTTTTCCCGACTACACAACAATGGTAGGCCTGATCACCGACAACAATGAGACAGCCTATAGGGAGGAGGTCAGAGACCTGGCCGTGTGGTGCCAGGATAACAACCTCTCCCTCAACATGACCAAGACAAAGGAGATGATTGTGGACTACAGGAAAAAGAGGACCGAGCACGCCCCCCATTCTCATCAACGGGGCTGTAGTGGAGCAGGTTGAGAGCTTCAAGTTCCATGCCTAGGTTGAGTCATTGTTAATAATGATTCTCAGACTGTTCTGATGTCATCTCACGAGGACTTCCAGTTTGTTGCCATCTTGCTGCAAGTAGTCTCTTTCAGGACGTCCACCTCTCCCTGGGAGAACTACAAACTGTTCTGAAGGTCTTAAGGTCCTGGACCTCTCTGGTCAGATGGTCCATTCTTTTGTTAGTTGAGTCCGTCAGTATTTGGACAGAGCTCTTGTAGCTGTTTTCCTGTTGTTGTAACGGCGCCAGGTAGCCTAGTGGTTAAGAGCGTTGGGCCAGTAACTGAAAGGTTGCTGGTTTGAATCCCCAAGCCGAATAGGCGATAATTCTGTCTGTGCCCTTGAGCAAGGCACTTAACCCTAATTGCTCATGTAATTCGCTCTGGATAAAAGCATCTGCTAAAATGTAAACGTAGCAGCTGCTTGTAGACCCCTTTTTGTTCACCTGTGATAGAGAAACACTGTCCTCTCCATTACACCCACCTTTAGTATAATTGTATTAATATCCCTGCCTTATCTCCAGCCCTACCCCCAGAGCTGTTACCAGGGTGACCATGGCAACCTCCAGTTCATCAGGATGAACGGCAACCAAATTACCATCACCCCTGGCCCCAGCCTCGCTTCTCAGGGAGTGAGTCACACACACATCATCATCATCATCATCATCATCATCATTATCACCGTATTCACAAATTAGCTGGCTGGTGCTGAATGGGACTTTTCAGACTATTGCACGT